GTTCCATGACAAAGATGTGCCCACTCTCAGGATAGAGTTCAAAATCGAGTGTTTTCAACTCCAATGTGAAGATGAGGCACTGCAAAATGACACATTCACGTTCAGATCTATGACCAGTTTAGAGCAGACCTGGGCAAACTACTGCCCTATTTGGTCCGCTGAGCCCAACACTGGTACAAGGTATGGTAAAAGGCTGATGTAGATCCTACAATTCCTGATGATGCCACTAGATGGCAGCATACATAAAATGTGCCAAAATATCTTTATATATATATTTATATTATTTCTCCCAGCATTCTCCATCCAACCAATACTGAACCGGCCCGTCAATTCAATTTTAAATCTAATATTGACCAAAAGAAAAATATGAAGGATAAAGCTGTAAGGAGACCCAGGGTGACCCATCCAGAGTAATAGACAGTACACAAAACAGATGGAGGAAAGGGTACAGGCAGCATGGAATGGAATGTCTGGAGTGAAATGCGACCGAAGAATAGCAGCAAAGTACAAAGTTGAATGTGAAGGTTTATAAAACAGTAGTGAGACCTGCTATGATGTATGGTTTGGAGACAGTGGCTCTGTCTGATAGAGAAAAGTATAGTCTCCTGTGACGACAGTGTCAGTTTGAAGACTTTTTCTTTAATACACAACAATTTGTTTCCTCTGAGACACACGTTTCCTTTTAATGAGAAGAAAAATAAAACTGTAGGCATTTCTCTGCATGCTGACCTCACTGTGGTTTGAGTTGAGCACACACACACTCACACACACACACATTGCATATCAGCCCATTCCCTACAGAGCCGTGCCACCTACTGTACATTACACTGCCTTCCAGTCCGTTGCATATTTATCGAAATCTAAAACTGAAGCAGCATCAGTGACGTGCTGTACGTGGTATTAGCTTAACTCCGCGTGGACTTTGATTCAAAGCGTACCTTTGTGCCTTTTGCCTCCGTCTGCGGTTTCGAAACCCGCAAAGTGTGTGTTTTTTATTTACTTTTTATACAGTACTGTGCAAAAACACCGTGCGGGTGTGTGTGTGCGCTTTCCGACTAAATGAATCAACTAATAGTTTGTTTTCGTGACTGCACCTAATGCACTGTACCAAATGTAGTAAACGAACTAGTGATATATCTAACTGGACGTGTCCATATATTTGCCATTAAATCAACAGTAATAAAATGTTTGAATACAAAGGGCACAGAGACTTGTGGTTAGTTCAGCAAGATGTTTGGAAAGAAACTAACAAATGTGGACCTAACTTAACCTTAGAGAGCTGTGTGCAGATGTACCAGGGAAAAGTGATGTTGTTTTGATGTTGTTTTTGCAAAGAGTTCTCAGATTAGATTAGATTAGATTAGATTGGATTAGAATAGATTCAATTAGAATAGAATAGATTCGATTAGAAAAGAACAGATTTGAATAGTAATCTAATAATACCGTATGATTAGATTAGATTATAGTTGATTGGAATAGAATAGATTACAACAAATTAGAGTGGAGTGGAATAAATTAGATTAGATTGGATTAGATAAAATAGGATTCAATTAGATTGGGATAGATTAGATTAGATTGGATTAGAAGAAAATAGATTAGATCAGATTACAGTAGAGCACAACAGATTAGAATGGTGAAGATTAAATGAGTTTAAATTAGAAGAGGTTACAATAGATTAGAATAAGGGATGTCTCATAACATCGGCCCGATATTAGCTTATTTTTTCGCAATAGATTAGAATAAGGGATGTCTCATAATATCGGCCCGATATTAGCTTGTTTTTTCGCAGATAATGAAAACCCGAAAATCCAATGCCTGGGTTTCGCCAAATAATGTGTGCTCTAAAAATAGTGCAATGCGCCGGCGACAGACCAGTCAGATGCCTTAGTTCTCTGAAGAACGTTAATTGAAACACAATTTCGGGGGAGGCGGCTATATCGGTATCGCTTGATATCGGAATCGGAAATTGAATGTTTGGACAATATCGGCAAAATCGGACATCCCTAATTAGAATAGAGTAGATTAGATAAGACGTGATTAGAATAGACTAGACCACCAACACTCTGTTTTTTTTAAAGAATTCTCAGTCTGCTGCATTTTCGGTACCTACCTTAGGCTTTTGGAAAGTATTGTCTATCCGTCCTGAAGTGGATCATGGTGAGAAACAGATTACATCGTCGAAAACAAAGCAAATCTCCTGAAATCTTCAGTCTCACAAATACTTTTGAGCTGCATGATTTTAAGAACTGCTGGTGTTGCGTCAGTGGATCGGCACCCAAAAACTTCCAAGTCAAACTTGAGATTCCGTCGGCTCTGCAGACTTGTGAAACTCGTGTTATGTAACCGGAGGGTTGTACAAAGTAATGCTTCTTCCAGTGTTTGCTAAAAAGTCCATGTTTTGTACCAGGGGACCAGGTTCTACACCCTTTTATTGCAGGT